AAAAATGGGCCTGACAGTCGTTGAATGGCCCAAAAGTTCATATACAGCTTCTAAAAGCTCAAAAACCCTAGAACAAAGCCTCCATTTTTGCAAAGAAAAGAGCAAGGTCTCTGAAGAACAGTATTCAGAGCGGAGGCGCCGGAGTATTTTGCAGGGGCACAGAAGTATAATTTCAATCCCTTTATTTTCTATTAGTAAATCATAAATTCTGTATTTGTAGATTACATAGCTATACGTTTAGACATTTTCTATTAAATAATGCAAGTAAATTTTAGTTGAATTTGATGATGAATTCTGTTAACAGAAAATGGCGGACAAGGCAGTTACCATTAGAACAAGGAAGTTCATGACCAATCGTCTACTTGCAAGGAAACAATTCGTAAGTCTTAAGACGCATTATCTAATACTAACAACAGTTGCTGTGCTGCAGTGCATATCTTAAACTTCATACTTGTTGATCTGTTTTTATCTGTTCTAATGGCATGCCATTTTTTACAGATTATCGACGTTTTGCATCCTGGAAGGGCCAACGTTTCAAAGGTTTGACAAACAAACAAACTCATATTGCTTTATTTTTCTGATTGCCTTGCAAGTTCAGCTAATTAGTGGTCGTTAATACAATTATTGGTTATTAGAATGAAATGAGTTTAGATCAAAGTGGCTATTGAGTAGTCATATAGGCAGTCAACTTAGTCTGAGAAGCAAATGTGCTTATTTGATGCAAAATATATCTTCTTCCAAGCTCCTCTCTCCTCTAGAGGAAGAAGAAGCTTGAAAATAGTCTAACTTAATAAGGGATATAGTGCAGAATCCAACTAGTTTATGATTATTACTCCCTCTGTCCTAATTTATGGGAAGGTGTTTAACTGGTCACCTAGTTTAATAATAAAAAGAAACTTTTGAAACTTGTGGTCTTTAGGAAGCCTTGGATATTTGTGTGACCTTAAATCATCTCATTAAGAGTAAAATGAAAGGTTTAAGGTTGAATTATTATTAAATATAGAAATGTGTCATCCCTTTTATGATGGACTAAAAAGGACAGAGTTTCACTTAAATTGGGACAGAGGGAGTAATTGATATTGGGGAGAGAGAGGTTGAGAACCATGGTTCAAAATTTCTGTCCAAGGCTCCAAGCCTTGTTGGATATAGATATATACCGGTACATGTGCTTGTGGGGAAGAACAAATTGGTGATAGAGTTACTCATACCTATGTATGTTGGAGCTAGCACGTACCTCGTGGAATTAGTTGAGGTGCGCGCACAAGCTTGATCTGGTCTTCACGATTCCCAAAAAATTAGAGAGAGAGAGTGTGCTAAGCACTTATTGCTCATTTGATTGTTATATACCTTTGGTTTTAATTTCTTACCTGCTTAACATTTCCTTGCAGGCCGAGTTGAAAGAGAAATTGTCAAGGATGTACGAGGTGAAAGATCCCAATGCAATCTTTGTGTTTAAGTTCAGGACCCATTTTGGAGGAGGCAAATCTACTGGTTTTGGCTTGATCTATGATTCTGTCGAGAACGCAAAGAAATATGAGCCAAAGTACAGGCTGATCAGGGTAAGAATCATTTCAGTGTTTTATTTTTGCATAGAAGTCATTAAGTCAAGAAAGTCATGTGAAACCAAAACTCCTTAATAAACTCATGGTTTATAAGTTTTGTAGATGGTAAGGAACTAATATTTGCTTCATGGTTTATCATCTTTGAATGGTTTTTGTAGTTTTAGTATCTTATCTTTACATCCCTATGGGGCCTTAGCGTGAAAAATGTTGTGACATGGTTTTCGAATTTCACTTTGTTTCGACTTCGTTCTTTAAGCGAGTATAAGTAAGGAAACTATAGAAACAATTTTTCTTGTTTCTGAGGATTTATTTGTGCTAAGAGTTGAGATGGGTGCAAACGCCTCACATCTAGTTCATCTCTTTGCTCCTTTTTTGTTTTTTTGTGCACTAACCATATTTTAGATGAATTTGTAGTAAAGAATCATTGCATGGTATTTGTCAATTCAAGAATCTTTATTATTCTAGATAAAGTTCAGTAAAATGTGCTTACAAGAAAAGATTAGATGGCATAACAAGACTCGCATGTGCAGTTTCATCATTTCAGAAGTTGAGTGTCTTACACAACTACACTAATATTATCCTTTTGTTCTTTTGATATCGAAAAGTAATTGCAAGCTGTAGGTCTGCATTACTTTGATTGTTTCTGTCGAAAAGACTATTAGTTTGAGTTATGTTGTGTTGAAGGCTATTAGACCATAAAGACGTGTGATTCTATACCTAATCTCTTCCTCCTGTCTTACCAAGAAACATCTCTTCCTCCTGTCCTTCCCTTGCTCATTCAGTTGATTCTGGTTTTGTGTTGCATTTGTTGCTGTTGCTTTCTCTTATGTATGTTTGTCTCGGTGATCTGTTTTTAGTATTCTAGCTGTGCTAATTCAAGCACTCTTCTTTAAGTAAAGTATTTGCTTGAGTTTGTTGCTCTATTATGTTGAATGCACCTTCACTGTCTTCAGTGTTAAATTTGTGGGCTTAATGATTGTATTTGGCTGTAATTTTTGTTTTGTGGCTAAAATAATGTCTTACTACTGAACAACACTTGCAGAATGGATTAGACACAAAGGTTGAGAAATCTAGGAAGCAGATGAAGGAGCGGAAGAATAGAGCCAAGAAAGTACGCGGTGTCAAGAAGGTAATGGTTTTTATTTTTGCCTTTACAGCTACAAACATTGAGAGAGGTTCTTTTGATTTTGGATCGTTTTATTTTATTCTTGTGCTGATATTGGTTGCTTGATTTTTGCAGACTAAGGCAGGAGATGCCAAGAAGAAATGATCTGCCAGTGATAGTTCCTTTAAGCCAAATGCTGAAAACGTTTTCCATATTATTTATGTTTCTCTGGACATTTATGCAGAATCTTTTCAATTTTGGTTGTCACTCAAATTATATTTGCATGTTTATGTGCTAGTACTTCTAAACTTAGTGAATTTGGGAGTGTAGCGTTTTTCTCAACATGTTCTTTATTTTATAATCACCATTTCAAGTGTTGCTACAAGGATTTGAAAAAAACATCTTGACTAGCAACCTTCATTGAGTTCTTACTGCCCAATTAAAACTTATAAAGTGGAAAGTAATATATATATATTATTTTTTTATTTATTATTTTTTGTGCAATCAAACACATTTATGGTACAGCTGTAGTTGGTAGTCTTCACTTCTGAAAAATCGCTGAAGTGATAAGCGCTAAAAGGAAAGAGGTTGGTTCATTGATAAGAAAGTAAAAAGGTGAGAGAGAAATAGTATTAGGTTGGAAGGACATACCAAACGAACATTAATAGCCAAAGGCACCTTAAATTGATAAGCGCTAAAAGGAAAGAGGTTGGTTCATTGATAAGAAAGTAAAAAGGTGAGAGAGAAATAGTATAAGGTTGGAAGGACATACCAAACGAACATTAATAGCCAAAGGCACCTTAAATCAGTGTAGGATAATATCCATAGGCATTTTGACGATAATTACCCTGTGCAATCTTGATATTGCTTTGTGGTAGTAAAGATATGACTCAACTCTAAAGCTAGATGATTGTCCAAGGCCCATACAGGGAGATCACTAGTTCTTTCCCAACCAATTTGCACTTTAACACACTCCAGAACACTAATATGGGGCATGATTGTGATAAAGATGTGACACTTGTCTTAATTCATCCCAAAAAGTTCAGAGATTCCCAAGCTCATATGAGGAGACCACGTCGTTTTCTATCCCTAAGTAAGATTGCCAAGTCCATATGAGGAGACCACTATGTTCCCTGACTAATGTGGGAATCTAACCTGCAACAACGCCACGTACAAATTGCCAACTGAAATGTGGATAACATAAACATGGGGGCTCAAATGGAAAAAATTTGCTGAGACGCCTCCCTGTCACTCATTCAGCCCAGGGGTGCTGCCGAACGATTGTCTGTATTGGCTATAAGCTAAACCAAAACGGATTTGAGTTTGAAAATGAAAAGTTTTTAACTATATATTGCCCGTCGTCCTTAGGGGCTCTTGTCGAATTGAGTGATGGATCTGTATTGGCTATAAGCCTGCCAGACTAAGAACACTTTTACCACAGCTAAAACTCCTTTTCTCATTCCCATACCTTCTTTGGAACCGATTTTCTTCTTATATCATATTACATTTTCTCTATAACAACATTTCGCTATAGAATCCAAAAAATATCCAGAAAAACAACATTGTTATAGAGAGGAATGAATGTATTAGTTTGACAAAAAAAAAAATAACCAGGTATTTTGAAGCAGCACGTTGATATCTACAGGCCTACTAATTGGTTTAAGACAGCAAGCAAAAGAGTGAATTGGTAAAATATGCTGCTGGGTGCCCCATCCTTAAAGGATAATGATCATGTTAAAGTTAGTTCTTTCCAAAAGGAAATGAAATAATTCATTAAGTTATCCTTTTTCATTCTCTTCGAATGATGTATAAACGGAAAACACAATCCAGATATTGTCCCTCATAGGCACAGGTAGTACAGCCTAAAGCGACTAAGAATGGGGAACCATAAACCCAACAAAGGAGAAGGAATTCGAGCAACTGCAGTACCAGAAAGTAAAGATGAAACCAACTACCATAGGAAAACAATCAACCATTCCGTGATAATGACAAACTTCAAACTCGAATACCAAAATTATAAGACAACATTTAACAAAAAGCTTCTTCTTTTCCTTTCTGGGGTGGCCTACTAGTTAGTTAGAGTCATACTAAGGAGTCATTTTGCCACGAGAATTATTCACTTTTTCCAGAATAATAATTTGTTGTTGGTTGTAAAATTTTCATGGAAGAGTGTATCAAACCTGCTTTCCAATTGCATCTTCATCAAGTCAAAATAAAGTGCTCTCCTTTGCAAAAAATGAAAATGAAAAATTTAACCAAAAGCAACTTCAAATTCATAAATTCCAAATAAAGTGAAATATTTGGAATCTATGGCCAAAAAGCCTACTAATAAATTGAAACCCCCCAAAAACTATGATCATATATACATACATCTAAAGAGAAGCTTATGCGATACGAACATTCAATTCAAACATTAGATAGTTCAAATTATATCCCATTGACAGGACGAGCCACAATTAACTAAAGCAAATAAAAAAAATTAAAACTTGAAAAACAATCGAGTGAGACAAAAGAGGATTATAGTACAAGAACAAAACGACCTGCTCCGACGATATCACCGTCGTCATCCGCCCCTTTGGGCACCGTGACCACCAACTCACCGTCACTAAAACGGGCACTAGCCAGTTCCGGCACAGTTGCCGCGGGAAGCCGAAACCGCCACAAGTCGAGGTCCAATCCAGACAAAGACGAATCAAAAACGTTATCAGCTCGGATAACAATCTTAGTAACACCCGGATAGATCTCAACTATGTGAGCCCTAATATTATCGCCGATATCATCAGTTGGGATGACGAATCGCAACGAATCGGGCGTTTCGTGGATTGAAACATCAGAATCGGAATGAAAGGGAAGTTCTAGAACCTTGGCAAAAATATGAGGTAGTCTCCGGAGCTTCTTTTTCCGGCAAACTGAGCCGTTCGCCGGAGACAAAACGTTACTTGTTACTGGATGAACCTTCATGGTTTATAAGCTTGAAAGAATTAAACCCTTGTTAAAATAAGTAAATTGGTGCAGAAAAACCCAAACAGATTTGTGTGTAGAGTTATAGGAGTAAACTGTAGTGGAAATCCTGGCTTTAGTAAAAAATGGGCAGGTTGATCTGTTTTTTATTTATATACTACTCTATTATTTTATGTTATCACTAAATTATAATAAATATAAAAGAAAAAAGGAGATAAATACTCACTTAGTGTAAAATATAAAATAAAATAAATATGTACTGTACAGGTCCTTAAATACAACAACAATAATATACTTAAATATAATACAACTAGAAAAACTATTTTCGATAAGTCCTTCTTTATTAGTATAAAATTAATACATGGTAATAGATACTTTTGAAGATTTAGATCTTTTTTTTTTCTTCATATGATCATAATTGGGAATTATATAGACAATTTGTCTTCATCATCAATTATGAATATGTGAGGAAGAGTGGAAGTTAATATTACAATTTTAATAAATGAGATCTGATCAAATATAAGAAAATGAATAGTGATGGAATCTCATAGTTATGATTAATCACTGATATCTATACGTTGACTTAAACAGCAGTTAAGATCATCCAGTTGTAGTAGTTACGTAATAATACTATTACATTAATTCCACCCAAAGAGAATCAATCTATTATTTTCTTTTTATAAAAAAAGAAGAAGAAAACTCCTAACTTCTCTCCAGTACTAGAACACATGTTATTATGAATATAATAATTGTACGGCAACTCTATTTGATTTGAATTTGAATTTGGTATATAATTATGAAACTGATTTCTTGATCACTTTTCTCTGCGTACCAAAACTGACCTGTACACTTTGTTAATGTTGAAGTCATAATAATACCATGGAAAGACGTATTTGATTAGAAGAAGCAATCTAATCTCACTCACTATTTCGACTTGAACTATAAACACAGTTTAACAATTGAATCATCATATACTTATATGATAAAGTAAAATTACATTTAAAAAGAAGTTGAGAGTCATTGTCACAAAGCAATAATACATGTAACGGAACTTTTGTGATTTTAGGCCTACTTTGTCCAAATCATCCCTTTTTATATTCAATGCGTGCTACTCTAAGTACAAATCTTAATTAAACATGTTTAGAATAATGTGTTGGTGAATTGTGCGAGAGGGACAAAAGAATAGGAAGTTGCGGGGATGCTTCCAAAAGCCATTTGTGTGTCAACATCAAATAGTTTCTCACGTCACAAAGTTTGCATTGTGCCATGGAACAGACCACACAGTTTTTGGCTCTCTTCTTTTCAATTACATAATTGTACTGCACCTCCTTGTAGAATTCTGGAATATCAAGTAAGGACTAAACTGACAAAAGAGTTCAAAATGAAAACATACTGCCTACTTGCTATTAAGAGTTATTATTATACAAGAAAACTCTAAATATTGAAGTTAACAAGACCACTGCCAATCATATCTTCTTGAGGAAGGTCTACCAAATGAATAGAGGAAATTTAAATTCATATAACATTCTGGTCAAAATCTTAGACATTCTATTTCTATAAGTATTACCAATAAGGAAAATATAGTTATAATGGAGGGATAATTTTATTAAGTTTAAAGTTGGTTATAATACAGTATAACTTATGAACGATGTTTAGAAAATTATTTGTATGCTTGCGTATTGTTTTCCCCTATGTCAGTCCATCAGGTCTTTCTGATGGAATTCTTAATTGTTACTTCCATCTAATTCAGTTTAAAGCTAACGTGAACATTAAAACGATTTTAATAATGAAGTCCCAGTTGGTTTTGTCTTGGAACCACAGTATCTTCTTCTGATACTAAAACTACCTTCTCTTTATTGTTTCATATAAGCAGCTCCTTATCTGTAGATTGAAACCCAACGTTCAAGCAGAGGCACTTTACATATTCACTCAATCTCTTAAGTAAATCGAAATGATGCTTACAAGTTACAACACAAAGTTCAGTTCATGATGCTCTGAGATCAAGAGAGCAAACGCGGACAAAAAAAACACATTTTTAACACCATACCCAATATAGTCAACAAAACTGATTCCATTTTAATTCTACATTTTCACGTCAAGAAGAATAATCAGAATAAATAACACTATCACTGTGAAAATACATAAATTTTTTACTTTTTGTCCGTTCATTTTGAGTATGCGCTGCACCTCAAAAAAACTAAGATAGCTCTGAAGCCATGGATGGGGGCCACACCTGGATAGCTCATCTGCATCTCTTCATACTGAAAACATATGTACCCCCCTTCTCTATAATCAAAATTCATGAACAAAACTGGATATTTTCTCAAGCCATTTTATTTTGAATATGTCGATGGATATGTACTAGAAACTCGACATATGAAAGTCCATTTTGTGTCTTGTCTTCTACCATGTGCGAGAGAAATAACATGCCTGACAAAGAGATTCATGGTCATTGCAAGATATCATATCAAGAGTTAACACTAAGCAGCTAAGAGTAGGGAGAATGTTAAATTGATTTAAAATGACTAATAATCTATGTATGTTAAGCTTGGGGATAGAAGTGCAAAAATATGTTAATGGATACAAACCTGATGAATCTCCCTTTTTGCATAATTTTAAGCTGCCAAGATCAAATTGATAATATATCAGAAATTAGACATATTATGTGTTACAGATATGCCTATCACATTGTATTCATTAAGTAATGAAATGTAATTGATGAACAGTCTCCTAAAAGGTAGGAGCAAATACACAGAAAAAGAAGAATCATACCGGAGATAGTTGCACCTTTGGCGTCTAATATCATTAATGATGTCATTGAGCTTCTTAGAGAGTGGATTGTCATACTGCTGCAGAACAAACTGAGAGAAAGGGAAATTCAGAATCTATGCAAGAGGAGCTAAATTACAATAAGTAATTTCTTTGCTTCACCAATGGGAAAAAAGAAACATTTGACTGTTTTGTCAATCAAGAACCTAACGAACCCAAGAGCCTAATAAGTTGGAGAATAAGGTACTACGAAAAAAACAGGTTTACTTTTAAGATATGACTGTTGAATAAAATTGCACAAACCATCAAATAGGATAGGTGGTCTGAATGCAAGCCTCATACTTTGGCTTGCGACAAAAGTACCTGCCTGACACATCTGACCACCATGGATTTATACAGTTTGACCAAAGCCATTCAAAAATAATCAATACAAATTAAATGCACTTTTTCAACCACATGTATCAAATGAGAATCCTAGGAAGAAGGGTGCTGAGAATGTGTTTCCCTCTCTTTTACCTACTTATACATTTGGAAAAATATTAACAATCAGCAGCAGAAGACATATCAAATTACCTGAGCAGGAATTTCCTCAACAGATGAAATGCCTAGCAGCTGATGGATAACATTAGGATCTGCAGAGTTCCCAACATATATCAAACAGTCCTCGCCGTTCTCGAGAAGATAGATACCATTGTCAGTAATGTGTTCACTGGAAAGCGGAATAGAAGGGGGAATAAGAGAATCGTCATTCTCCTACAAATTCAACAGAATGAAATGTAAGAAATGTAATCCGAAAATAATGTTTAAAGGGAATCAAGAAAATGAATAGAACTACCAACTTGACTTACAAAGGCAAAAGAAAAAAGGGAAACAAAATCCATAAATACAAGTACATACCTTAGTATCGAATTCGTGAATTGCTATCAATCTAGGGTAGACCAGAGGAATTGCCAATGGAGTAGAGAGAGGGGAAACATAATTTATCCAGAAGGACCTACTATCGATCTGTCCATCTGCTCTAAGTCCAGTGCTTTTAACCAAAGCTGAAATATTAAGAAAACTTATAAGAATATAGCTTTTACATAATTGATTGCACAAGAATTGGCACAAGAAGTACTTTTGTAGTGACAAAGAAAATTAGAGACAGTCATTCAATATGCACTATAAGTAGGAAGCATTCGGAAGCTAAAATGCACATACTAAGAATGGGTGATCATTCGTTTAGAATAGCAACAAAAGGAAAAGGAAACCAACTCATAAAATACACCGAATTAACAATCTTAGAATAGCAACAAAAGGAAACCAAGGTGGAGCATAGAGGAAGAAAGTGTTATAGGCATTTTGATCAATATGTCAACTTAAATATATAAAATCAAAAAGAAGAGGAAATAATGCAAGAAAATTGTTTTAAAATTGCACTGCATGTATAAACTAACACTGTCAAAACATTTGGAAATGAAAGGCTTGTAAAAAGGAAGGCAAGATATACCCAGTGTGTAAAGAGGAAGAAGTTTAAGTGCCTCAGGAAGGATAAGTTGCCCTGAGGATGACACTGTAGCACAGAATTTACGGTAAGAGTGCAGAATATTGATGCAAAGGTTTGTCACTTGTTCTCTTATCCGTGAGAGAGGAGCAGTTGGTACTTCACTGGCAGCTGCATGCAAGAAAAATACCATAAGTACGATTACTCTTTTAAGATAATAAACAAGGACAAAAAGGGAACAATAGAATGAAATAGCAACAGTGCATGAGATAACATTAAACATCAAAAGCAAGCAGGCCACTTGGCAACTCGTCATAGTAATTATGTCGACCACAACAACACGATTAATAAGCTGTAAAGAGCTATCTTCAAATTATTTGCTTCTGGCCAGGAGGATCTTTTTTTCTTTTAAATGTGTGTGTGTGTGATGGAATATTGAAAAAACAAAAGTATTTGCTTCTGAAAGAGAAGCAGGATGTGAAGGCCCTCAATGCAGGATCTTGTGCTGCTGATTCTTAGGAGATAGGGGAGATAAATATAGCTTCTTCATCGGCAAAGAATATGAGCACAAAGTTAGTCCTGCCTAAAATCCAGATTCAATTCCAAATATGCAGAACAAGAGTTACGGGAACTATAAAGGAGCACCATTGCAGAAACAATCAGATTCAATGTTGTACCCATGGACATGTAGGTGTCCACACACAATCTTATATATGATTTGGCTACAACTGTCAACCTTATAAGTGCCCGTTTGGATTGACTTATTTTAGGTGCTTTTAAGCCAAAATAACTTTTAAGCAGTTTTGAAGTGTTTGGGTAAAGTTAAAAAGTGCTTATA